TCACAATAAAAATTAAAAAAATAATTGACTTAAAATACATCCTGCACTGATATGGCCTCTTAATATAACAAAGAAACCCATTTTCAATTGGGATTATAACCAGAAGTGTAGGGGTAAGGATTTACAGCACAAATTTTTAGGGACACAATTCAATCCATAACACCAACACCAAGATATTATCAACCAACATATAATCAATACAAAAGATTCTTAAAGAGATATGGATTGAATTTGAACACAGCTACTTGGCCAGCAGACTGGAGGAGATCCATATCTTTGCCCATTTTAAAAAAAGGTGATCTAACAGAATGCAGAAATTATCTAACAATATTATTCATATCATATACAGGTAAAATTTTGCTGAAAATAATTCAAAAATGGTTGCAGCAGTACATCGACAAGGAACAGTCAGAAATTCAAGCTGAATTCAGGAGAAGGCATGGAATAAGGGATATCACTGCCAATGTCAGAGGGATCTTGGTTGAAAGCAGAGAACAACAGAAAGGTGTTTATCTGTGTTTTATTGACTATACAAAGGCATTCGACTGTGTGGGTCATAATGAATTGCAGATAATATTGAGAAGAATGGGAATTCCAGAACACTTAATTGTGCTTATGAGGAACCTGTACATTGACCAGTAGACAGTGGTCTGAACAGAACAAGGGGACATTGCACCGTTTAGTGTCAAGGTTATATCCTTTCCCCATACTTGTTCAATCTGAATGCTGGGCAAATAATCTGAGAAGCTGGACTATATGAAGAAGAGCACAGCATCAGGATTGAAGGAAGACTCATTAACAACCTGTGATATGCAGACAACACAACTGAAAGCAGCTGAAAGTGAAGATGATTTGCTGCACTTACTGATGAACATTAAAGACTACAGTCTGCAGTATGGATTACACCTCAACATAAAAAAATGAAAATTCTTACAACTGGACTGATAATCAGCATCATGGTAAAAGGAAAAAAGATTAAAGTTGTCAAAGATTTCATATTACTTGGTTTCACAATCAACACCCATGGAAGCAGCTGTCAAGAAATCAAAGGATGTATTTCACTGGACAAATCTGCTGCAAAAGACCTCTTTAAAGTGCCGAGGAGCAAAGATGTTTCTTCGAAGACTAAGGTGCACCAACCCCAAGCCATGGTATTTTCAATTGCTTCATATGGATGTAAAAGCTGGACAATGAATAAGGAAGACCAAAGAAGACTTGATGCTTTTGAGTTGTGGCATTGGCAAAGAATACTGAAAGTACCATGGACTGCCAGAAGAACTAACCAATCTGTCCTGGAGGAAGTGCAGCCGGAATGCTCCTCGGAGGTGCGAATGGGCAAACTTCATCTCACCTACTTTGGTCATGTTGTCAGAAGGGACCGTTCCTTGGAGAAGGCTGTCATGCTTGGTAAAATAGAGGTCAGTGAAAAAGGAGAAGACCCTCAGCAAGATGGACTGACACAGTGGCTGCCAATGATGGACTCAAGCATAGCAAGGATTGTGTGGATGTCACAGGACCGGGAAGTGTTTCGTTCTGTTGCACATGGAGGCGCTATGAGTCGGAGCTGACTCGATGGCACCTAAGTACAACCACCACAGGATCACATTCGTCCTTTATCTGTACAGACAGACTCACCAGGGAAGACACGTGTTTCAGCAGGTCTGGCAGCTCTGCATCACTGTGGTCTGAAGGATTCCTTTCAGTGGCATCTCTGAGGCCTTTGGCGGCATCAGATTGTATTTGTATCCTCGGTCTGACCTCCTCTAACTTCATAAGGAGGGAAAGAAAATCAAGATCAACTCCAAGGCTGATTCCTATGAGGCGAAGGTCCAACAAATTTCCTCTCTCCAACTTTTTTTTTTTTTTTTTCTTCACCAATTCTTATACCAACCATCCCTCCTAGGGCACTCTCTGTTTCTCTACTGGGTTCAATCATTCATTGCAATGGCCACACAGAACTCACAGACCATATTCATGATTACAAGGTTTATTAGGAAAGTACCAGGTTACAATTCAGTTTCAAAAATGACTCAGGATACAATTCTTCAATCAGACAGCCTCTTCTCAGCTGTGCCCACAGATACGCTGCTCTCTTGGGTCTCTGGGCCCTGCTTCTGCCCTCCTCAGGCAAGTGTTACAAAGTGGTTTTAGTTCTGCCACAAAGTGTCCAGAGGCACGCCATCTGGCCAGTAAGCCTTGCCCGGAATGTTCAGCTCTCTTCCTCGGTGGGCCTGGGAGCCCACTGCACCGTCTCCTGCAGGTCTCTTGTTCTGCTGCCTTTGCTGCCACCATTTCTCGGTTGCTGCTTTGTGCCACCTCTCAACGTGTTACAGCGCTCTCTCTCTCTGCCTCCTGGATCTAGGAGTTCTCAGTGCAGGGATCCTGGGTCCCAGCTCTTCTTTCTTGGTAGTAGCAAGATTCCCCACTTCCTGCTTCTGGAATGACTCATTTTAAGCCTAGCAGAATGGCAAAACTAACCAATCCCCTTGTTGGGGTTTCATATACCTTATTTGCCTGGTCCCACTCCCACAAGGGTGCAATGAACCTTATTTACATTACTGGCAACCTATCCTGTTCCCACAAGCACCTCATCTGCATAGTCCCACCCAGTCATTTGATGAGAGTTACAAAGACTATGGCTAAAGGGACCATATCAAGTAATTCATTGCACCTCAAAGACAGAGTAGAATTGCCCCTTAGGGGTTCCAAGGCTGTAATCTTTACAGAAGCAGACTGCCCACATCTTTCACCTGCAGAATGGCTGGTAGGTTCAAACTGTTGACCTTTCAGTTAACAGCCAAGTGCTTAACTACTGTGCCACTAGGCCTCCTTCTTTGTAAAGCCTACAGTCAAGAAAATTCTATGGGGTAGCTTTATGCTCACACATGGGGTCACTAGGAGTCAAAATCAACTCAACAGCACCCCGACAACCACCTAGGTTGTTGCAAAGATTAAATGAGATAAAGGTACATTGCACAGTTCTAGGCACATAGCATTCAATACTAGCTCTTATTATACATGGTGGTAAAAGTATTAGCAGAATACTTAGTATTGTCAGTGCTTTTGTGAATTTTTAAAAATCTCCCCAAGAACTCCATGAGCTAAGTACTACTGCTATCCTCACGTTAGAAATGAAGAAGCTGAGTACAAAGTGGTCAGTAAATGCTTGTGGAAGGGATAAACAGCCACGACTCGGTATCTTTTGCATTTATTGTTCCAATTGCCATTTTAATTTACCAAACTTGTATTTGTTTATCCAAATCCAACCCAAAAACCAATTCTCCAAAACTTTACTAAATTTCCCAGGAGGGAAAACTTGTTTTTCTATTTGCTTTTCCTTTAATTGTGTATCCTTCCAGAGCAAGGAATATCTTTTACTCTTTTTCAGTCCTAAATTCTCTGACTCTCCACCGCTGAGCATTGTCTATAGTCTGATTAGGAGAGAGAGCATTAAATCAACTGTGGAGAAAATATCCATGGAAGGTTTCCAACTAACCTTTTTCATAGGAAAGACTTCAATGTATTTGAGGGTTCTGCATCTATCTCTTGTTACACTAAAAAACAGTAGCTGTTTTCTAATGTCTTTGGTAGGAAAATAGAAAGTTATCAACTTGATTTCAGTCCCCAGAGGTACTCTGTTGGGAGCACTGGTGGTTCAGAGGTAGGATTATTGTTTTCTACACAGGAGACAAGGGTTCAAATCCAGGCCAATGCACTTCTTGCACAGCCGTCTGCCAGTGGGGGCTTGTGTGTTGCCAGGATGCTGAAGAGGCTTCTCCAGTACTTCCAGACTAAGATGGACTAGGAAGAAAGGCCTGGAAATCTACTTCTGAAAATTACCCAATGAAAACCCTATGGGTCACTGTGGTCTGATCTGCAAGCTATCATGGGATGGCTCAGGCCTGGGCTGCACTTCGTTCTATTGTGCACGAGTTGCCATGAAGTGAGGCTTGTCATTAATTACTGCAGTCACCAGCAGCTAAAAACAAGGTAAAACGCTTTAAGGTAAAATACTCTTCCTATCCGCCCTCCCACCAACCCCCCCCCACCCCCTCGTCTACCTTCAAAGGAGGAAAAACTACATTTCCCATCATGCTACATATCCGGAAGGAAGTACGAATGACACCTTCCCGTGATTCCTTATAGACCGGAAGCTGGGAACTTAGTTCTCTTTCCCATCTTGCAAGGTAAGAATGGTGGCGTTCTTCTGGAAGACTTCATTTCAGGACCTCAATCCTTTGTCATCCGCACCAGGAGGGCATCGAGTTGACACCTGAAAGGGATGGACATGCTCAAAGCCAACTAAGAGGCCTCCCAGAAGTTTCATTTCTTTCACTTGTGTTTGTGGCGGAGCACGAAGCGATGAAATGGAATTAGGCGGAGGATGCGGCGGTTCGGCACCCTCCTTGGCTAGCAGCACGGGGCCCCTGCGGGGATTGGTAGTGGCCAGGTGGCGCCGGAGGGGCGCGGCCGAGGGTTCGCGCTCTCCGGAATCCTGGGCCGGGATTCCGGAAGACGTCGCTGCTCTTGTCTGGGCCACGTTGGGTTTTGGGGCTGAGGCCAAATGCCGCTTTTCCGAGTTGCCCATGCCGACGGCCGGAAGTCCATTCTTGGGCTTGGCGTGTATTCTTGGTGGTGGTTTTAGTGTGGGTCGGTTTTGGGCTAATTCTGTATATATCCTTGTCTCCTACATTGAGTTTCTTGAATGACAGTAGTCTTAAAGGTTAAGAGCAGAGGCCCTAAAAGCAGATGGTTTCACGTTCCTGGTTCGTTGTTTATTAATTGTGTAGCTTTGTTGAAAGTCTCTGTGGCTAAGTTTTCTAACTTGCAAAATGGGAATAGTGGTGTAGAAGGCTGGCGAGGAGCTCTGGTAGTATAGTGCCTAAGGCACTTGACTGCTAACCAGAAGGCTGGCGGTTCAAACCCACCAGCCACCCCTCGGAAGGAAGACTGAGCAATCTATTTCCGTAGTGATAGTGCCTCGGAACCCCAAGGAGGGGTCTCTGTGAATCAGAGACAACTCGACGGCACATAACAACAGTGGTGTAGAGACTGTTGGGGGGTCAGCCATAATACGAGAGTGGAGTGGAACCGTGGGGCTTGAGATGAAATGGATGTTGGTTCATTGAAGGAGGGAGGAAGGACTTGTGGTCTGGGAAGCCCTCAGTGTGCAGTGTAAGTATTGTCTGGTTCAGGGATGGTCAGTGAAATGCCCTTTTCCCCCCCAATGTTGGTAGATGGCGGGTGAAAAGCCTGAGAAGCCGGATACCAAGGAGAAGAAGCCTGAAGCCAAGAAAGCAGCTGCCAGTGACAGAGCTAAGAAGGGTAGCCCCAAGGGCAGAAAGCCCAAGAAAGGGAAGCCCCACTGCAGCCGGAATCCGGTCCTGGTCAGAGGCATTGGCCGATACTCCCGGTCGGCCATGTACTCCAGAAAGGCCATGTACAAGAGGAAGTACTCCGCCGCTAAGTCCAGGGTAAGGGAGGCAGGGGAGCCGCTCACTGTTGTCTTAAATGTTGTGCCTGCCTCATGACTTTTTGATCCCTGTTGTAGGTTGAAAAGAAGAAGAAGGAGAAGGTTCTTGCTACTGTCACAAAACCAGTTGGTGGTGACAAGAATGGTGGTACCCGAGTGGTTAAACTTCGCAAAATGGTAAGGTTTGGAGGAGACTGAGTTGGATGTGTTTAGCTTAAGCTGGAACGTTCTGAAGGATTTTGTAATATCCTGGGGCTTAGATGTCGAGGTTTATTAGAGAGAGTTCGTCTGAGATGATGGGGTCTGGGTTTGCAACTTGCCTCTACTGTGCTGAGTCCTTGATCTTAGTAAGTTAAGTTACTTTTTTGTGCTGCTTTTTCCTTGTGAAGGGAGGAATGGGGGGAGTGCGGAGCTGGGTGTGTTGCTGAGAACAGGATCTGGGAAAGCTTCCTTTGTTGTCAGTCTGTGAGCTGGTGTTTTTTTTTTTTTGGTAAATAAATGAGACATAAGTGACAAGACTAAAATATACCTAGTCCGACATTTTGCGTTTGTAATGATAGTAATTTTTTTTTAAAAAAAAATCTATCTATTTACCTGTTTTGTGCCTTAACAGTGTAGGTCTGGCAGTAATGAATGCTACTGTCCCTGACTGGTGGGCCCCGTGTGCATGTAGTAAGGAGTGCGGGTTGCCTAGTATTTCACTCCCTGGAAGGGGAGTGGGACCAGCAGGGATGGGATGCTTCCCGGCGGGTCCTGGGTGCTCACGAGGACTGAGGATGAGCCACCAGCAGCAGGTGTCATGAGGGCTGCCAGAGACAGAACAGGCTGTGGTCAGAAGGAACCCTGAGATGGGGCGTTTGGGTGCCCAGAGCTTTCTGACCCCGTGTCAGCTGACTGGCACCTGTGCAGCCCCTTAAGATTCCTCAGTGCCCCCTCCTGGGTGGGGGTGGGACAGGTGAGTGACCTGCAGCAGCTGCTGCAGTTTAAGGTCAAGGATGGAGGCTGAGGGCCACCCTGGCTCTGGAAGATCATCACCTTGTTAGAGGTGATTCAGATGTCACCTATACGTGACAGTGGGGGAGGGGAGGCTGCTATGACAGGTGACCTCACAGGCCTGGCAGTATGTTCACAGTGCAGGGGAGAGGATGAGGTGATATGGTCATCTTCAATTTTCACATAACTACCTGGTCTTTGGAACCTAACAAAGTCTGTAAGTGAGGCGTGGGTGTAGTTGGAAATGATTGTTTTTATTTAAATTGGGACCCACGCTGTGCCTCCTTTTTCATATTATGCGAAACATGGTAAGTTGCGTGTTTTTCTGAAGGACTATGTTTTAGCGGCCTAGAAAAGCTTGGGACAGCTGCCCCGTGACACGTGTGAAGATAGCTTGCATACCTCTAAGGTTTTGTTAGCTCTGAGTTGGAGAGGAGTCTGGTGCAACCCTTTTCCAGCTTCGCTTGAACACAGCTCCTCCGTTAGATGATTCCATCCTCAATCTGCTCAGCGGATACAGAGGCATAGCTTGGCCCTTCCCAAATTTAAAAACATACGGGAGACAAAAATGCAACACTGAATAAGTTCACATAGGGCTGTAGCCAAGGTTTAACTGACAGAGGTTGGGCTCCGCTTTGTGCTGAAGGAAGGGCTTGTTTTACTCAGTTGGCTCTGTGGCTCTCTCCAGCCCAGGTATTACCCTACTGAGGACGTGCCTCGGAAGCTGTTGAGCCATGGCAAAAAACCCTTCAGTCAGCATGTGAGGAGACTGCGGGCCAGCATCACGCCTGGCACCGTTCTCATCATCCTCACCGGACGCCACAGAGGCAAGGTGAGCGGGGCCCTCGGCTCACAGAGCTCGCTCCCACTGCCTGCCAGGCTGCGTCGTGATGTGCTTGTGCTCCGGAAGGATTCCTGTATTCCCGTGTTGCCTGTGTCTACCTTGTGTTTGGGGGATTTGGTTTTTGTCTTAAGGGGGAGATGACCCTTAACCTGATATTAACAGTCTATCTAGTCCCTTCAGAGCAGACAGTTAGTGTAGAAATGTATCATACTCCTCACCTAGTGTAAGCATTTTCCTGTTAACATGTAACATGTTTAACCCATGAGATACAGTAACTCATTTCGCCTTCCCTGCTATTCATTGGTTGTACCACTTGTTAGAGGTGATTCAAATGCCTTTCTAGCAAAAGAAGTTTCTACATCTGAGTTATGTTGAGGTAATGAAATTAACCGAGTTAAAGGATATTATTATTAATTTATTGTTATTAAAGTAATACCTGCTCATTAAAAAAGAAAAAAACTCAAATGCTGTTTTATGCAGCAGTAAGGAAATGAAAGGATTTTTTTGGGGGGGCAGATCTGTTGCAGAAGACCCCTTAATTGTGTTAACAGAGGGAAGGTGTCACTGGTATCCTGGGGTGACCCCTGTTGCTGATTCAGTACGCCTACTTTCTGGAGCCACAGAACTTAAGCATACATAGACAGTTCTTGGCACATTTAGGCACGTGGGGTTTGATGGATTCAAAAGTCAGTTTCTGGTTGTAGGTACCCAGGCCCATCTAGCGTTTCTGTTTAACTTACAGAGAGTGGTTTTCCTGAAGCAGCTGGACAGTGGCTTGCTACTTGTGACTGGTAAGGGCATCTTTGGCTTTTATATTTTCTCCAGCTCACATTTTAAAAGGCTTGGTGTGCACACATTTGCTCCCACCTCAGTGGAATGTCCTCAGAGCCAGGAGCCTGGGCTCTGTTCCACTGCCTGTGCTGCACTTGGAAGGGTTAAATGGAGGCGGATACTTAGATCAGTGTGTGCACGTGTCACCCTTCGCTGTCCCCTGAAGTATGGAGGCATGCATCCTGCGCTGGCATTTGGCGGTAGGGTATGTGCCTGGGTTACCCGTCCGGGACTGTGGGTCCTGAACCCCCTGTGGAGTGACTGCTCTTTCCCAGCCTGGGACAGACTGGGCTCTTGGGAAATTCTCGATGCTGGCCATAGAGAGAGCAGTCTGGAATTTCTTTAAATCTGCCACAGAAGGACAAATCCACCTCCCCGGGTTTCTCCCATCTGTCAGCTTGGTGCCTGTTCAGTCAGTCCTTAAACAGTTGTTTCCCATGTCCCTCGCCAATTTGTTTTTCCTTAGGACCCCTGTCTCTCAACCGAGTTCCTCTGCGTAGAACACACCAGAAATTTGTCATCGCCACCTCCACCAAAGTTGACATCAGCGGCGTGAAGATCCCCAAGCATCTCACGGACACATACTTCAAGAAGAAGCAGCTGCGGAAGCCCAGACACCAGGAAGGCGAGATTTTCGACACAGAGAAGGAGGTGTGACTCTGCTTCCGGCGCCTTAAGCCAGGAGCTGCAAGCAACGGGGTTAGGCGTTGTTGAACAGGAGGACCGGCGGGAGGGAGCTGGCACATACTCGGTGTTTTTCTAGTCTCCTCAACTCAGTAACTTGTGATGGCGTCTGGGCCCTTCTGCAGGAAGCCTGAGGTTTGGGTGGAACCTTCAGGGATTACTGCTACTGTTCTATCAGGAATGTGCCCTAATTTATCCTGGGTGTTCATTGAAGTAGACAGAAGGTTAAGAACTAGTAGTTTTATTACATAAGAAATGGGTAATATTTTACAGCCTTCAAATGGAGTGATCACAGCGCCTGTAATGGCCTCATTGATATTCCTGCATATGAGGACTTATGAGAGGGTAGAGGGTCCCTTCGTTGAAGGGCACTTGGTGCTTGTGGCATGTTGATTAATACTAAATTTTCTGTTTCTTTAGAAATACGAGATCACAGAGCAGCGCAAGGTTGACCAGAAAGCTGTGGACTCACAAATTTTGCCCAAAATCAAAGCCATCCCCCAGCTCCAAGGCTACCTGCGTTCTCTGTTTGCACTCACCAATGGGATTTACCCTCACAAATTGGTGTTCTAGGTCTCTTGCAAAGAATCTAATTAAATAACTAATAGTTTAACTTGAATCTTCTGTTTTTTCTTTGGGTAAATGTTTACCTGAGTGGTGTCAGACCCAGCGGGTTGATGGGATTTTTGCCTCTAGAGAAAGGAAGGGGAATGGTACTTAGGGCTTGAGTGGCCAGGGGGAGTCCTTTTGTTAGCCGTTTGAACCCCGGGGTCAACCTTGACTCTGCCACTGGCATCAGCGTTCTTTGGCTGGCTTCTGCTTGACTTTTCACCTGCCATCTCTGTCTCCCTGTGTAAAATAGTGGCACTTCACCAACTCACTTGACAAGGCAGTGCTGAACCACACACCTGGATGGGAAACTGCAGGTCACAAACCCATCTCTCCCTAACATCAGTTTCTCTCCCCCTTTGGCTTTTCTGTAGTAACTGTCATTTGCTTGTTTAAAACCAAATCCACAGCTGTCGAGTCAATTCTGACTCAGCGACCCCCACTGGGTTTCTGAGGCAGTAAATCTTTACAGAACTAGATTTGCCCAGTCTTGCTTCCATGGTGTGGCTCGTGGTTTGAACCACCAACCTTCTGGTTAGCAGTTAGATGCGTTAGGCACTATGCCCCCAGAGTGCCTCCTCCATTTGCTTCATTAAGCAGATAAATGTGACTAATATTTTTTAACCTCCACTTTTTTTTTTTTTTTACAAAAAACTTAATACATAACTAAATATGTTTTGGGCATTCTATGGAAAGGGTCCTTTTTCTTAGAACCTCATAGTTCTGTGAATGTCTCCATCCCTGTCGCTTGCAATTGTACGTGATGTTGCAGTGAGTAACCTGGAGCATATGTTCTGTAGCTGTGCGAGTGTCTAAGGAGTTGATGGTTGCTGTGTTAGAGGGTGTATACGTTCTGACTAACTGGCGCGGAAGGGGCTGTGCACAAGAATGCCTGTTTACCCCCAGACCTGCTGAATGGTACATCCTAAAACTTGGGCCTATGCTAACACAGCCTATGAATAGGACTAAGTTAGGCTTACTTGTATTAACTCGCGTGCTGAAGTGCATGAATTTTGTTCCATAAACCACTTACACCAGTGGGGACTCTGATGACTAAAGCCACCATAAACATAACATACAAGGTTTTGTTTAAAGGAATGTTTTCATTTGTCTTAGGTATAGGAGTGTGATGGTGGGTGATAAGTGCATGCTTAGTTTCACCAGAAACCACGTCACTGCCATTTTGCATTCTCTCCAGAGTTTGAGTTATTCCATATTTTTGTCAGCACTTAGTGTTGTGGTTTTTTTTAATTGCAATTTGAGT